ATCCAGTTTAAAATATATAAAGCATGTAATTTTTATAGAAACACTTTTGTCTATATCAAAATTAAAGATATTGAAAATGAAAGAACAAAATGTTCATAAGACCAAGATTTCATTTTTGATTTGTGTTAAATTTAATTAATAAAAATATGCTTCAGATTTCAATCCGAATTTATTTTATATGATTCTGTTTTAGAACTGAAACTGAACCGGATTTACTAATTCTCCTACCACTTCTGATTGGTGGCATCCTTTCTTAATTGTATAATTTTAAAATAATAAGGTTTAATAATTTTAGACATAAACGAATTAATTGTCTTCAAAGTTTATGTATTCGCAGCTATTTAATAGTAAATGAATTATAAATAATTATATTTCAGGATAGCGAAAATCGAAAGTATCAAAGATCACTTACAAAAATTTATAGTTACTGTGAAATTTCATCATATAAGGGTCTTATTTATATCAATAGATGACAAATCTAAATATTACAGAGTATATTTTTAAGCAGAAAGTTTTCTTGCCTTGATCAGGAGTATATACTATAGAGAGTTGATAGTTTGTTTAGTATCAATAAATAATAATAAATGTTTAAATAAAATTGTTTTAGATAACAATTAACGTTAATTCCTACTTCTAAATTGTGATTTAATTTAAGTAATGATTTTCTATCTGTAGGCATAAGAATAAGATTAATGAATAATAATTAAATACGTTTTTTTTATTCATTAAAATTGCCCCTTATAGAACTAGTTTTTTTTCATTTTTTTTTTTGTAGCTAATATTTTTATCTGTGATACTAGGGTGTCCAGAATTCTGTGGTGCATAATTCTGCTCACTCTAAAAATATTTTTTTGTATTGTCTCCATAAGATAAACATGACTTTAATTATTTTTTAAAAACTAAATACAATACAAAAATATATTTTTAGAGCAAGCAGAATTATGCACTGCAGAATTCTGGACACTTTATGTGACACATAGAGATGTAAAATGCAATCATAATTCTAAAGATATGCCAAAATCGTCTAAGATCACAAGTATAGAAAAAAAAGATCAAATGTTCAAATTGTTCAGAAAAATATAGACCTGTATATCACAATAACATATTCATATAGTGATCCCAGGTATTGGAAAACAAATTTATAAAATTTTATTTTTTTATTAAATTTGTAATAATTTAACTCAATATTCGATTAATAAAAATTCATGCTGAATTGTTTACATTTTTTATTGTTAATACTGTAATATAAGATACAAACATTTGAATAGTGATGTGCTGCGTTGGGGTGATCGGTCAACTAATTAAATCATGTAGACCATAGCAATAGTTAAATAATTGGCTTTAGGCCAATTTTTTTAAATACGAAAGTATTGTCACACTAATGAATATCACTTTTTAAATAAAACGTTTTAGTTTTAGTACAAAACAAAAACAGGTAAAAAATTGTATTGTAAACTTCTATAAGTAAGCGTTGTTTTGCCTTGCTGTGTGATCTTTAATCAGAATTTTATGATTACTAACTGATTTATTAAACATTTCAACAATGTCGCTAAAATTATTTCGTCTTATTATTTTTTGGTTAGCTTTAGCTACTCTAACACAATTGCTTGGTAATAAATTATTTTATTAGAACATAATTTGTACTTTATTCAATATTATAGATACTACTATATTGTTACTATTAGTTTGAAGAGTAATTATAAACTTTGAATTTAGTTTAGCTTTAATAGTTAATTTAGATTTAGAAATAAACAAAATTTTTATTTATTCTTACATATTTTTATATATTTTAAGAGTATTAATTTATAGTAATAGATCACCATAGTGTCTCTATATAAATAGCTAATCAAAATTAAGCATATAACTATATAGTAAGTTGCTTACTATGGGCTGATTAAAATTAGCTAAAAATTTTTAAATTTTTTAATAAAAAATAAAGAAAAAAAATAAAAAAATAGTATTAATTCTAAAATATGATTAGTTGCAAAAAACATTGACAACTCTTTTTAACAATTACTTGGATCTAAATTTTTCTACTAATGAAAAACAAAATTTTTACACTAGAGAGTGCCTTTTGACTTAAGAGACAATACAAAATAGTTTATACAAAAGCTAACTGCTATCTCTTGAGAACTCCTTTGAATATATTTAGCAAGCAAGCCAAAAGCATCAGTATACAAGATAAATAGCAAAAGGTGTAGCTCTTGTATATAGAATTTTAGTGATAAGAAAGGGTGAAAAAACTCCTAAACTATTAACAAAGTTTTGTGGTAAAACAACAAAAAATAGTAAAGAAACAAGCTTTTCAACATACTTATTTAAAAATTTTAAAACAAGTGATTTTTACCTCTCTATCACCTCTTCACCAAGCTTCTATAAAATTTTAAAAAAGTGAGCAAAACAGCTTACCTCTTCAAAAGATCAGCATTGTTTATATTTTTATATTCAGAAGAACTCAGTAGAATATAACTACATATTTGTTTTGGTGATAACATAGTGCTACATCATGTAACGGTTAACAGATAGTTAATGAGATATTCATATAATAGATATTATAGTTTTTTTTTTTTATCTTTGGCGGTTTTGCCAAAACTTTATTAAGATTCTAAGCATATCAATACAAAATTATATACTTGTTTACTCCTAATTTGCAAGCCTGACATCACCCAGCTACTTTTCAGCGCCCAAGTGCAACTCACCGCACTAGTTTAAGAAAGTTCAGAAACTAGGGGCTGTGTTAAACCAGCCTAAGTATATTTCCGGGCAAAATTAGGCATAAATAGAAAGAAATAATAAAACGAAATAAAACTGTGTTAAAAATATCACGTAAAAAAATTTATACAGTCTACTCTCATTTATATCAACCCATTTGGATTGGTTTAAATTCATGTTGATAGTGATATTAACGAGGGATTATATTAAAGTTGATATATATGAGGAAATTTTAATATATAAAAATTTGTAAAAATTTATTTTATGGCTTAGATTGATATTAACGAGGTTGATATTAATGGGTCGACTGTAGTGATATTAACGAGTTGATATATATGAGGGAATTTTAATATATAAAAATTTGTAAAAATTCATTTTATGACTTAGGTTGATATTAACGAGGTTGATATTAACGGGGGTCGACTGTATATACTAATATTGTAATAACTATAAGCAGCATGTAGGTTGAGCGGGAGGATCAAAATTGCAACATGTTAGACTACAGCATGCACCTGGATTTCCAAGATCACAAGGATCACCATCAGGAGTACAAGTCGGTAAGCATACAGTTGTAGTAGGCGTGCAAGTAACGGTTGTTGTTTTTTCACAACCATTACAATCATCATTATAATCACTATTTTGGGGACAAATAGCACTAGGTAAAGGTGTGCTGCTTTCACAAGAAATAATAGAAGTTATTGTATTAGTGCTAGTTTCAGTAAGTGTGCATGTTTTAAATTTATTATCAGGATAAGCTTTGAAATGATGAGCTTTGGAATGATGAGATTCAAATTTACGAGCATCGATAATTAATGCCAATGTATAGACGATGAGAATTATTATAAACAATCTATTCATTATTAAATTTTGTTTGTGGGTTTAAGTATACGTATTATTTAAAAAAGAGCTTTCTAACTTTATGAATGAATTTATATTAAAAATTATTTTCTGATTTTT